TAGGACAAGAACAACTAATATATGAAAGTATGTACAGAGTTTTAGTCTAACCACACCACAGAGGTACCATCAGTAACCATGAGAGACAAAAATGTGCCAAGAATAAAAAGTTCTGAATCGTGCGTCTATGTCTCTGACCCAAAAACCAAAGTTGTGTCTTCGCAGTTTTAAACCCCAAACTCTCGAAGACCAAAGAAAGCACGAATGGGTCAAAGCTTTCTGAAGATACGGTCCACAGTGCATTATGTACACTCTTTATAGTCCGACTATTGTTCTCATCTTTGTCGTTTTTTGTCACAACGTTTCGGCCGTTGTACCCTTCAGCCTTCTTCAGGTGCAAATAGATCTAGGTAATTTACATAAACAACAAAGATATGGACAATAGCCCGAATATGAACAGTGTAGATAATGAAAACACGTCATCCCAAAAATTCAGATAAAAATTACAAGGACACTGTTTATCATGTGTGTCCTCCGCCTGGTCAGACAGAAGACAAGGAGTTTAACCGTGACAAGATGCGACCTTAGCTAGATGCCCGGGAAAAAAATCGAATTTCACGCGTCCGGTGAGAGGAAATTCCTCAATAATTATGCACCTGCTCAGTCAGCGTAGATTGTGCAGTAGTTTGGGGCCAAGAACAAAATTACCCAAGTACAACAGCCGCCATATTCCTTAGATTCCGCCCTTTACAACGTTTTCCTCTGTCCAAAAATCAAATCCCAAGAGAAAGGAAGAATATTTCAACACATCGATGATAGAGCTGTTCAGTATCACATTAGAGGATTTCCAGGAATGCTTCCTTCATTAGAAACTTCGCTGGATAAAGTGTGTGGTTTCAGAAGTGGACTAATTCGAAGGAGATTAAATGCAGAATTGATATGTGTTGTAGTTTTATTTACATTGCACCAATCCTTGTACGTTTTTTTTTTCGTCTCAGGTACCGTATTCACATAATCAACGAGTGCCAGCAAAAGAGGGTCAGGCATTAAGGACGGCTAAATTATATAATTACAGGATTTTATCTCAAGGGTTCAACTATTTCCACTATTTACTAATACTATTTACTAAGCTAATCTTATTATATGCCAAGGCCTGTAACATTTTCTGTAAAAGCTTTCGATTTGCTAAAAATACAATCAACTTAACTGTTTTTGTGGGTTTTGAAAAGGTGAATTTGACAGTGCTGTAACCTAGTAAATGTAACTGAATAAAATAATCCCACGAAGGTTTGTAATGAACGATAATACTTAGGACAAGAACAACACATATAAGATTCGCCAGCGGCACGTAGAAGAAGGAGGTCAACTACTAGTAGTGAATCTAGTGAATTCCACAATGAATCTCCAGCTGCAGGATATCTACCAACCGCCCCACGAGGTCAGATATGGCACAAGGTTGATTTTAATCTTGGGTACCCGAGCCCGTAGGCTCGGCCAAAAATTCCCCGTAGACCCCGTATAAAACAGGGTCGGGTAGCTGTTTCCCGAGACGAGACTCTGCCCTTCGACTCAGCCTCGTCTCTGCCGGCACAGCTGAAGACAAATCTTCAGCTGCAGAATATTTATCAACCACCCCACGCGGTCAGATGTGGCACAAGGCTTAATTTAATGTGGGTTATCCGAGCTCGTAGACTCGTCCAAAAATTCCCCGTAGGCGCCGTATAAAACGGGGTCTGGTAGCTTTTTCCTGAGACGAGAGACTGCCCTTCGATATAGCCTCATCTGGTTGTTCTCTCTGCCCAGTGACAGAGAGTTTGACCAGCACAGCTAGAGATAAATCTCCGACTGCAGACCAACATACAGTATTTACTACTGTATTTATATGAATGGGAACATACCCATTATCGTCCGTAGGTATGCTACAAGAGGCAGGTGACTAGAAAATCACGTGATATCAGTAATCTCCAGAATGTTGAAAATATTATAAAGTAACATCCTGTTATCGGACTCCATTAAAAACAGCGCTATGGGGCAAGTATGGACAGTCAATGCTTCAGGAACGCAACTGCCAATGAAAGCTAGAAAATACAGCACCTTTTATTTATTTTCCTTTTTTAATTGTTTCACCCCAATTGAGGGGGGATCCTACTAGAACGCAGGGGTTACAGGGAGTGAAAGTGAAAAGACTGAGTATAGGGGGGATTGAGGAAAGGACAAAAGATGAACGTGATTCAAAACGACAAAAATGGTGATTGACGTTGCATTTAATTTTTTTGAGAATTGTAGTTATCAGAGAAGCAGTGAAACGGAAGGGAGTTTCTCAGGTGGGAAGCGCAAGAAAAGAAACTGTTGGAGTACAAGTGGCGGTTTCAATTATCTATTTCAGTAGTAAAAGGGTATCGAACTTAGTTTTGTCTATTCGGGTACCAGAAAAAAAGATCGGTCAGAGCAGATGCCATGAAAAGATAAAGGAGAGCCATGACATATCGATAAGAATTTGACTGAAGACCAGGTGCCTGGCCGGGATCGATCACATTACAGATCTTTCCTTGGATTTTGTCAAGAATCTCGAGATGTACAGCAGGAGTACCAGAGCAGATATGGCAATATTATTCAATGCAGGGACGAATGGTAGATTTGTAAATGTTCAAGAAAGGTTGTGGCGAGAAGAAAATAATGGCAAGATACACTGTCCCAACGTTCTTCAAATAAATAAGTGAAGATTATCCTGATGTCAGTTGAAAGCTTTGAAAGCTCTTTGCCTTCTTCAGCAGAATTCTGCGAAACTAGCACCTCAGCCAAGAGAGTGTTATTGGTGAAACCCACCTATTCTATAGTTAATAGGCTCTCCCACCTATTCTATAGTTAATAGGCTCTCCCACCTAATATAAGTAGGAGTCAGTCAGTCAGTCGATGTCGGACGACAGTTAGTCGAATACGAAAGTATCAGCGACCACAACCAGATTACTCTGCGTTATACCTATTATATGCAGTTCCTAACGTTTTGTGCGTCGAACCTATTTTAGGACCGATTTACTACAAATACAAGCCTCCACTGCGAAATCACTCCTCAACAGAGAGCCACTTTGGCAAAAGGCAGAAATGCAATGGCTAGCCAACTGCGAGCGACATCTTCGTCAATTAAAACAAGACCCGATGATAAATGAAGAAGATGTTTTCTTCCTATCACTTGATAATTTTCCAGCATAGGAATGCTTCTCGTTCCATTCCTCGGCATGACGATAAACTACATCCGACAGCAAGGCCTCCGTTCAGAAGGTTTTGAGGAGTGTGGAACCACCTTTTAATTAATAGTGTTCCCAGGTCCACCCTGACCCAGAGTGATTAAAACGTAAACATAGGTTTTATTACCAGCAATACATTTTTGTGAAAAATTATTTCCAGCAATGAATATTTTAAGATAAAATTATTATCAGAAATACACTATTACCAGCAATTCTTATTTGGGAAAGATATTAGCAGCAATACATTTTTGAAAAATGATCACCAGCAATACATTTCTGGAAACATATTACCAGCAATACATTTCTGGAAAAAAATATTACCAGAAATACTTTTTTTTTAATAAAAATATTACCGTCAATATAAATCTTGTTCGCATTAAATAACCCATTGAGGTTGATATGCCGTAAAACAAACCAATATATACTGAGATAGATAGATAGATAGATAGATAGATAGATAGATAGATAGATAGTTAAAAATATTACCAGCAATAAAAATCTTGTCGACATTAAATAACCCATTGAGGTTGATATGTCGTAAAACAAACCAATATATACTGAGATAGATAGATAGATAGATAGATAGATAGATAGATAGTTAAAAAATATTACCAGCAATATAAATCTTGTTAGCATTAAATAACCCATTGAGGTTGATATGACGTAAACACAACCAAAACAAAACAAGCTGCTCGTTCTTTTAAGGAGGTACAAATGAAAATATTTAAAATTGACAACTGTTTTCCATTTCACAGCCGTGAAACACTTCAATCTTGCCTTATTTCTTTAATTTTCTCACTGAAACCAGGTAGCGTCAGTGATTTCTTTTGTCTTCTCACGCGATCAATACGGAATCGTTCATTATTTATGAGGCATTAGCAGGGGACGTTAAACACTTTTATCTTTCTTCTTTACTTCTTTTTTTTACTGAATCCAAGTAGCGTTATTGATAAGTCGTTTGTCTTTACACAACGAAATAGTTTATTATTTACGAAGTATTGACAGGACGTAACGGTCGTACGAACTAGCAAAGGGAAAGACCAACACAATTATAACAGGATAACAACACCAACAATAATAATAATAATAAAAATAAAGGAAGTTAAACTATTCATCAGCTACAACATGGTTACTCAAAGAGCGTTACGCTCAACTGTGTCGATACGCGAATCATAGATAAACAGCTGTCAATGTGAGATAAAAGATTGATTTTGGCAGGTGAACGGTAACTTTACCTAAGATCACTACTTTGGGTAATCTACAAGTCGTCATGAATTATCATGACGTAATTGGTCTTACTTAAAACAGTGATTCTCAAAATCGAGCAAGCTCAAAGCAGATCTAGAGGAAAGAAGGCTGGGAGAATTTAACATTCACGTAGTGAGCGCAGAAGGCGCAGCTAAGGTGTATGCCTGACAGAAAGAAAGAAAAGACGGATGTTAAAATACCAAGTATTTCGCAAGGGAGAGGACGATGTGGAGCGCCATAACATGCGTTGCATGATATGGAAGATGATGTGGCGCGCTATAAAATGTGTGGCAAATATAATGAATTAGGTTTGTATGCTGTTGCATCTAGAATCAACTGCAAGAGACGACAATTGTGGGCAGATGATATCACGAAAGAAGCTTTAAAATAGACATTTTACGTATGGAAATAAGATTATCTGTACTGACAAAAGGTCAAACGGTAAAAATTTAAAATATAGATGAAAGGTGAATGGGAGATGAAGAAAAGAAATAAACACGTGGTGTTAAAAAAAAAAAAAGGATAGAAAAAAAATTCTGAGATTCAGAAAGGAAGCAAGAAAAGAAATCAATGTGTAGAAAAAAAGAAACATCGGAAAAAAGAAAGAAAAGCTGGCAGACAGGAAGGAAGGAAGAAAGCAAGGAAGGGATGAAGGAGGAAAGAAAGAAGGAAGGAAAGGAAGAAGAAACGAGGAAGGTAAGAAGGAAGGACGGAAGAACATGTAGTACAGCAAAAAAGAAATTCACACATTCTACAGAAATAAATAAAAGGAGTAAAGAAAGAAAGAAAGAAAGAAAGAAAGAAAGAAAGAAAGAAAAATCCGCATTTTACACAAGAAATGGCAAACATAAAAAGTAGCACTGAAAGATAGAATGATTGAAAGAAAGAAAGGAAAATAGAAAAAAAGAAAGAAAAAAGAAAGAAAGAAAAAAGGAAAAAAGAAAAAATCTGCATTTTACACAGAAATAGCAAACATAAAAAGTAGCACTGAATGATTGAAAGAAAGATAGAAAGAAAGAAAGGTAAATAGAGAGAGAGAAAGAAAGAAAGAAAAAAAGAAAGAAAGAAAAAAGAAAGAAAGAAAGAAAGAAAAAGGAAGAAATAAAAAATCCGAGAAATGGTGAACATAACAAGTGACACTGAAAGATAGAATGATTGAAAGAAAGAAAAAAATAAAGAAAGGAATATAGTAAAAAGAAAGAAAGTAAGAAAGAAAGAAAGGAAAGGAAGAAAGAAAAATGAAAGAAGAAAGGAACAAAGAAAACAAAAATCCACACTTTACACAAGAAGTGGTGAAAGTAACAAATGGCACTGAATGATAGAAAGAAAGAAAGAAAGAAAGAAAGAAAGGAAAAATAGAAAAGACAGAAAGCAAACAAAAACTGAAATGTTACACGGAAAAAACGAAGAAAATAACAAGTAACACTAAAAGAAGAAAGAAAGAAAGAAAGAAAGAAAGAAAGAAAGAAAGAAAGGAAAAATAGAAAAGACAGAAAGCAAACAAAAACTGAAATGTTACACGGAAAAAACGAAGAAAGTAACAAGTAACACTAAAAGAAAGAAAGAAAGAAAGAAAGAAAGAAAGAAAGAAAGAAAGAAAGGAAAAATAGAAAAGACAGAAAGCAAACAAAAACTGAAATGTTACACGGAAAAAACGAAGAAAGTAACAAGTAACACTAAAAGAAAGAAAGAAAGAAAGAAAGAAAGAAAGAAAGGAAAAATAGAAAAGACAGAAAGCAAACAAAAACTGAAATGTTACACGGAAAAAACGAAGAAAGTAACAAGTAACACTAAAAGAAAGAAAGAAAGAAAGAAAGAAAGAAAGAAAGAAAGGAAAAATAGAAAAGACAGAAAGCAAACAAAAACTGAAATGTTACACGGAAAAAACGAAGAAAGTAACAAGTAACACTAAAAAAAAAAAAAGAAAAAAGAAAGAAAGAAAGAAAAAAGAAAAAAGAAAGCAAAAAAAAAGAAATGAAAAAAAGGAAAAAACAGAAAAGACAGAAAGCAAAAGAAAAAAAGAAAGAAAGAAAGAAAAAAACGAAAAAAACAAGAAAGCAAACTAAAAAGAAAGACGGAAAAAAAGAAAGAAAGTAAAAGGAAAATAAAAAAGAAAGAAAGCAAAGAAAAACTGAAATGAAAAATAGAAAAGACAGGAAAAAACAAAAGAAAGTAACAAAAAAACACTAAAAGAAAGAAAGAAAGAAAGAAAGAAAGAAAGAAAGAAAGAAAGAAAGAAAGAAAGAATAAATAAAGAAAGAAAGAACTTACTGCTGCATATTGCACTGAAAGGCTAGAACAAATGAAATCTTGTGAAATAAAAGATGCCATCAATTTAAGAATGTGATTAAAATGAAAGAAAAGATTATAATGAATGAAATATAACATCATTTACTTCAGAATACAAAGCAGGTGACAAAGAAAAGAAGAAAAAAAAGGAAAGTAAATAAGAAAGGAAATAATTAAGAAGAAACGAAGGAAGGAATTAAGAAAGAACAGAAGGAATAAAGGAAGGAAGGAAGAAAGGAAAGAAGAAATGGAGGAAAAAGATAAGATAAGGACAGAAGAACAGACGGAAGAAAGGAAGGAAAGAATAAACTAAGAAAAAAGAAAGAATGGAAGTTAGGAACGAAAAACAGAAGGAAAGAAAAACAGAAAAAAGGAAGAACAGAAGGAAAGAAGGGGGGGGAGGAAGGAATAAAAGAAGGAGGAATGAATGGAAGGAAAGGCACAAAGGAAAAGAGGAAAGAGATAAAAACCGGAACAAAAGGATGGAAGGGAAGAAGGTAGGGTGAAGGAAGGAAGGAAGGAAGGAAGGAAGGAAGGAAGGAAGGAAGGAAGGAAGGTAGGGAGGCAGGGAGGAGGTAAGGACGGAACGAAGAAAGAAAGAATGAAGGAATAAAGAGAGTAAGAATGGAGGAAAAACGGAAAGAAAAACAGAAGGAAGGAAGGAAGGAAGGAAGGAAGGAAGGAAGGAAGGAAAAGGAAAAGAAAACGACTGAAAAATGAAAGAAAGAAAGAAGACTGGGATAGATGAAAGGAATGATAGAAGGAAGGAAAGGAATGGGAGGAAGGAATGAAGGAAGGAAAAGAAAAAGAGAGAAAAATGAAAGAAAGAAAGAAAAAAGACTGGGATAGCTGAAGTCTTACAAGGAAGGAAGTAAAGAAGAAAGGAATGATAGGAGGAAGGAAAGGAACGGACGGACGGAAGGAAGGAAGGAAGGAAAAGAAAAAGAGTGAAAAATGAAAGAAAGAAAGAAGACTGTGATAGCATAAGTCTTACAAGGAAGGAAGGAAAGAAGAAAGGAATGATAGAAGGAAGGAAGGAAGGAAGGAAGGAGAGAAAACCGCGAAATCTCAAAGTGCGAACGGAGATTTTTGCCGTACGGAATTGATTCAGCTGACCTCCGAATTCGACAGCGCGTTCCTCAGAAGTCGGTAGTAATAATGGCGGGACGAATGTTAGCGACTGTACTAAATGGATAGGTCTCAATGACGGGAAGACCGAGCAAGGCATGTCGGTCTTGGGTGAGGAAAAGAGAGAATTCGAAGACGAGAAAAAGGAGAGAGAGGGAGAGAGAGAGAGAGAGAGAGAGAAAGAGTTTATATGTGAAAGAGAGAGAGAGAGTGATTGAGAGTGAGAGAAAAGAATCAGCTTATGGCATTAAATATGGAATGAGGAAGGGAAAAAATGGACGTGAGAGGTGGAATCAAACGGAGGTAGAAATTCACCGGCCTTTGAGTGGCAATGCATTAAGAACAATACATATATATACATATATATATATATATATATATATATATATATATATATATATATATATATATATATATATATATATTATAGACAATAGATGTATAACCTACTAATGAAAAAAAAGCTTTTAGGTTCATACAAGAAATACTTACCTTAATGCATAATCTTCCTTGTCGATGCACTTAAACCAGTGCTTCACAATTAAACACATAGATCAAACATTCAACTGGAAAAACGTCAGATCAAAATTGAACTAGTAAATTATTTTAGAATACTGACTTACTAATCTATGTTCAAGTCATATCTCTGTGTGTTCACCAACACATACACACACAGAGAGAGACACATACATACACACACACACACACACACACACACATACACATATATATATATATATATATATATATATTTAAAAATATATATACTGTTTTTATATATATATATATATATATATATATATATATATATTATAAATGGATTAGAAAAAAATATTGTCACTGCCCTTTATTGGTAGAAACTACAACTGTTTTTATCGAATTTTGCACTGAAAGGTTTTTTTTTTTGTTTGTTTTTGTTTTTGTTTTTTTTATCATTCCATTTATACACTCTATATATTTTGGTGTTGGTGGGAATCATTTTAAATTTAAATTTATAAAATGGCTCTCAAAAATTGATAAAACAAAACAAAATTACGTAATTTTGTTTTCTCCTTTTAATCTTGGTATCTATGGAAGCCTTCATTGATTATTTTAAAGATTTTTTTTTTAAATTTGTTAAAATATTTTTTAAGAAACTATTTTATATTAATGTTTGTTACTATATTCTCGAATTTTCAATATATATATATATATCGATATCTTATATATTGTTTTTTTTTTTTGTTTTGATTATTTTGTTGTTTTGTTTTCTACATATATATATATATATTTATATTAAAAGACATTTTATGTTTAACGTTCTTTTGTAGTATTCAGCACTCTATATATGACCGTTCCCGGGGAGGATAAATCTAGTTAAACGTATTATGTCTATTTATTTAAGTTTTAATCATTTTAAATTTAATCATTTATAATATATATATATATATATATATATATATATAATAAATATAATTACACACAAAACAAATTACATATATAAAAATTTATATATATATATATATAATTTTTATTTTCTCAAGTATTTTAATCGTATACATATGTATCTATGGATGTATATATGTGTTATATATATATATATAGCGTAAATTACAACACACATATATACACACATATAGAGATTATATACCTATGTGATTATTTTTAAAGATTTTTTTTTTTTAATTTGTTAAAATATTTTTAATTGTATATGTTTTAAATTTATATATTTTATATATATATATACAAACATATATGCAGATATGTATACATATGTTTATATACACTATATACACAAATGTAAAATATATATATATATATATTTATATATATATCCACAAATATATACACATATATTACATATAATATATATATATATAAATATATATATATATATATATATATATATATATATATATATATATATTTATATAAAAAAATATGATTCCTGAGTGTCTCTAATACATGTTTTTTTTTTTTGTATAACGACGTAGTGAATGTTTTGCTAATTAATTCTATGATATCGTCGAAGAATAAGAATTTATATTTTTGACTAAGTTCATGTTATCAAAGATGGAGTTTTGATATTATCAATTTCTTTTTTTTGTTTGCAATTAAAATAAAGCATCATGTACATAGCGGACATATATTTAGGGTTTACCAACTTCTTATCTATGTAGGACATGTAGCAGTTGGAGAAGTACGAACCAAGTGGATTTCCCATAACAACACCCTTACTTTAACATTAAATATTGCCATTATGATCGTAAAAGGAGACCTTAATCGTCCAGGTAGGCAATAATTTTTTAAGAATATTAGGTTTGATGGATAGAGATGGAATCGAATTATGTTTATACATAGAGTTAAATATTATATTGATGGTTTCATCAACAGTGACGTTTGTAAATAAATTTTCTACGTCAAATGACGCTAAAATACCTTGATTTGGTTGTAGTTTCAAATTTTTGGAACTGATGTGATGCTATATTTGGTAGGTAGATATAGAACAATGATACCACTAAGGAATTTTGACAAAATGGTATATAAGAGTTGGGATCTGTGAAATATATAATGGATATCCGGGTTTATGTATTGTTATATTTCCGTATTGGTTATATATTTTGCTGATAATATATATAGAGCCATTGTGGTGTTTATATGTAATTTAGTAAATTTAGATCAGTCATTTTTATGTTTAACGTTCTTTTTAGATCATTTGTCGACTTTTAGAGAAACATACATATTTATATGTATAATGCTTTTTCATGTTTATAATCAATCTTTCAAATCAGTATTGTTTATTACATTCTTCTTCTTCTTCTTCTTCATCTTCTTCTTCTTATTATTATTATTATTATTCATCTTCTCTTTCTTCTTCTTATAATTAATGACATTTCGACTTTTCTTACTTCTTCTTCTTCTGAATATTATTATTATTATTATTATTAAATTTTCATAGAAAATATTCGTTTTTTTTTTTCTTCTTCTTCTTCTTCTTATTATTATTATTATTAGACTTTTCTTGACTTATTTTTCCTTCTCCTTTTTCTTCTCCTTCTCCTCCTCCTTCTTCTTCTACTTCTTCTTCTTCTTCTTCTTCTTCTTCTTATTATTATTATTATTCATCTTCTCTTTCTTCTTCTTATAATCCCCTTCTTTGTTTTTTCCTTTTTCTTTTCCTTCCTTTTTTCTTTTTTCTTTTTCTTCTTCTTCTTCTTCTTATTATTATTACTCGACTTTTCTTATTTTCCTTCTCCTTTTTCTTCTCCTTCTCCTCCTCCTTCTTCTTCTTCTTCTTCTTCTTCTTCTTATTATTATTATTATTATTATTATTATTCATCTTCTCTTTCTTCTTCTTATTTTCCCCTTCTTTGTTTTTTTCCTTTTTCTTTTCCTTCCTTTTCTTTTTTTTTCTTTTCTTCTTTTCTTATTATTATTATTACTCGACTTTTCGTCATCTTATTATTATTATTAATTATTCATCTTCTCTTTCTTCTTCTTATTTTCCCCTTCTTTGTTTTTTTTTTTTTTCTTTTTCCTTCCTTTTTCCTTTTTCTTTTCTTCTTCTTATTCTTCGACTTTTTTATTTTTTTCTTCTCCTTCTCCTCCTTCTTCTTCTTCTATTATTATTATTATTCATCTTCTCTTTCTTCTTCTTATTTTCCCTTGTTTTCTTTTTTTTTTCTTTTTCTTTTTCCTTCCTTTTTTCTTTTTTCTTTTTCTTCTTCTTCTTCTTCTTATTATTATTACTCGACTTTTCTTATTTTCCTTTTTTCTTCTCATTCTTCTTCTTCTACTTCTTCTTCTTCTTCATCTTCTTCCTCTTATTATAATTATTATTATTATTATTATTATATATTCTTCTTCTTTTCCTTCTCTTTCTTCTTAGTATCATTATGCCTCTTCTTCTTTTCCTTCTTCTTCTCCTTCTTTTTCCTCTTCGTCATCCTCATTAAATGATACTCCTTGTTGCTTTCATTCTTCGTTTTTATGTTCTTCTCTCTCCTTTTCCCATATAATATTCTGCTTATTTTATAACACCTTCCTTTTTCTTTACATTTCTTCTTCTTATATATATATATATATATATATATATATATATATATATATATATATATATATATAGAGAGAGAGAGAGAGAGATAAGAGATTAAAAAGAGGGTGAGAGAAAGAGAGAGACAGTGCCATTGAAACACAAAAAATCTTTAATAATATATTTGGTAGGTAGGTAAAGAGGAATGGTATCACTGAAGAATTTTGAAAATTGGTCCATATATTTTAGGATCCGTGAAATGATGGGTATCTGTGTTTATGTATTGTAATATTTCCGTATTGGTTTTCCTGGTTGGTAATCTCCAATGATTTTGCTGATTTCCAAGGATCCTACATTAGAATTGTTAGATCCCATCTCCATATATCAAACTGGGACAACCGCTCAGTAAGTGTTGGAGGGTCCTTCTCTTCAGACCGAATAAAAGCAAAGTGTAAAATTCATTTTCCACCAATTGCTCGGGTAGGAAACGTGTCGTACACAACGAAAGATGTTCCTGAGATTAGCATACCAGAAATCCGACCAGGAAATATTCCTTTTTTTTTTTGTTCTATATTTTATCGTTTCTTCCAGCTCACCTGCTGACATAAGGCCACCATTTTGCTGGCTCTGATTTCCCCCATTCCTTTTCTCACTTCATATTCGATACAATGTTTCTGAACTTTCCCTTCCACGGGGGTTAGTATAGAAGCCTAGGCCGGATCGGCTCACTGCCACTTTTCCTGGAGAGACTTCTGTCTTAATCTTTGCTACATCAGCATTGGTAGGATGTTACAAGTTTGTCGGTAGATTCTTGTAGTATCTCCGAGGTGTTTTTATTTAATTTATTTAATTTAGACCGATTATCAATGGTGTTTTGTAATCTTCTATAATTATCCAATTTATCCAAAATTACGGATCTACTAGTTTTATCAGTTCGTCTCATGACGATATTAGAATTGTTTGTTAATTAAAAAATGATTAATTAAAAAAGAAATGCTTAAAATTTATTTTCAATATATATATATATATATATATATATATATATATATATATATATATATATATATATATGCTGGGTGTAGCAGCAGAATTCTCCAAATCATGTAACGGCATAACTGTCCATCCCTCAAAATGTTTAATCTCTAAAATAACACGAAACAAATTGATTTTCTTTTACCTGGTTTCAGAGACGTTTAGCCATTTTGACAACATTTTCATTTGAATCA